GACATGCTCACAACAACAACAACACACTGACAGACACGCTCACAACAACAACAACACACTAACAGACACGCTCACAACAACAACACACTGACAGACACGCTCACAACAACAACACATTGACAGACACGCTCACAACAACAACACACAGACACCACTGACAGACACGCTCACAACAACAACAACAACACACAGGCACCACTGACAGATACACTTATAACAATAACAACACACAGACACCACTGACAGGCACGCTCACAACAAGAACAACACACTGACAGACACGCTCGTAACAACAACAACAAAACACTGACAGACACGCTCACAACAACACACTGACAGACATGTTCACAACAACACACTGACAGACATGTTCACAAAAAAAATAACAACACACAGACACCACTGACAGATACACTCACAACAACAACACACTGACAGACACGCTCACAACAACACACAGACACCACTGACAGATACACTTATAACAACACAAAGAAACAAACAAAAAGACCACTGACCGCCTGCGCCCAGCGGGTGGCCAAGCAAATGTCTCCACCTTCACAACCTTTGTTATTGTCATCACAGTCGATAAGTTCTTGCACGCTCAGTGACGGAGGCGTCGTGTTGTACTGAATGGCATACATGCTTTCCATTGTCTCCACCACACTGAAAGCCCTGCACAGAATACGTATCAATAGTGTTATGCTCTTACTGTACTGTGCAAAATAAATAAATAAAATATGTATTTTCATGTCATTTACAATAAGTCGCATACGACCTGACAGAAACAGGATTTATTTTTAAAAAGTAGAATTTTATACAAAGCCAATTTGGGTTATTTTGACAAGGAATAAAAGAAAATTGGAGAGCTCAGATTTCTTTGGAGTACATGGCACCCCTGCTGTATATTCTCTGGTTTACTTGGGATCAAATTTGAAAAAGATTTGATTTTTTAAATTGAAAAATAATTAATAACTTTGCAGGCCACACAGTGGTGCATCACTACCAACAAAGAGCTACAAAGCAACATTTGAAAAACACAGTCCTTCTAACTGGTAACATAAAATGGAAGAGGAATCTAATTGTTTGTATAGGAAATATCTAATACTTTACCAGCAGGCACCACAGGCTTTTTGGTCTCTGATCGGAGTCACGACTTTCTTGTCTCTCCTGAAAAAAAACAACAACATGAGACAACATCGCGAGGATGAGTCCTGAGACCAGAAGCAATAGTTGATTAGAAACAAATCAGTTTTGTTTAGTAAGTGTTTTACGGCACTTGCAATACAATTAGGTCATATACGTGTATATGCCGAAGATTAGAGGTGCTAGAAGAGAGTAAAAAACACCCAAAAAAAGGAGAAGAGATGAGGATAATAGATGTTTGATAGGAAATAACAAGCAAACCACACCAGAGCAACAACCAATCATCCGCTAACAAATCAGTTCCAAATTGGGAAGGACCTGACTAAATAAACAGATCGTGTGCAATTCCACAGAGATTCAAATTATAACGTGCTTTAATTTTCAATTCTTAGTTGTACGGTGAAGGCTTTGGACAAGGAAGAGCAAGAGAGGGGTTTGAATTCAAGTTGTATTAGATAGAACACTGTGTCTCAGAAAAGATCACTGGATGTCCAAAGGAATAATTTCAACAAAACTTCAAACAAACAAAATTCTACCAGGGGGAAATCCCATTCGTCAACATGCTGGTCAAGTCATTCATTCTAATTTTTTTTGTCTTGTCAAAGCAGATCTCTCGTGTTCCAAATTTGCAGGGCACTGTATTTCAACTTCTGCAGGTTGCAAGTTGTCCAAATTCTATGATATTCCTATCTCATCTTCGGTCTTGCTCCTCCATCTCTCTGTCATTTCACTTTCCTCTGAAATATACTAATATTTTTCTTAGGATATCTGCTGTTCCTATATAGTCGCTAGAGTATAGTTCTGTAATAAGTCATTTTTGTGTACAATGCATACAAATATGAAATATGAGGCATTGTGGGAAACTCAGGCATTCGTTAAAATTATTAAATCAAACAGAGAAAACATTTCTCCACACATTTGTCAATTGTTATTTGTTATCATTTTTTCCGGGTGGGGGGGGGGGGGGGGGGATTTTACTGAAAAACATTGGTCAAAGGAACAAAAATGTAAATTTGTAGCTTTCAAGGACACTACAGCTTTGGAAGTCACCTAACGTTAGTGGCAATTTTCTCATAAATTTTACCTCAGACCCGAGATGACCCCTATCCCCTTCAAATGCAAATATCTCAACTTCTATTCAAGATAGATGGGCAATTTTTTCATCAAAACCAAGGCAAATGAACAGTCTTTAAGATAACACCACGCTGTGACACAGTTAATGATAATAAGGAGCTCATAGCTACCAGTCAACTCTCTGTGGCAAACCATCAGGGGGAAGCACCACCATCTGTGATCCTAAATATTGGGAAGCATCACTAGCATTCTTGTGCCACCTTGCAGACTTGTAACCAGACAGGTAGAGGTCTGCAGCAGAATCAAGCAAACCAAGTCAAAGCAGAGCAAAAATGCGGAACTTTTTCCAGACTGTGCCAGGGTAAATGATTAAATTCACTGTTCTACGCAACTGTCCCCACCAGACCCATTTTTGAAATAACTAAATTTATGGTTGGAATAAGTTCTTGTTGCTATTGATCCCGTTTTATAATTGTTGTTTTAAAAGATCCAGTTCAAAATAAGCTAGAACTGTGAATTATTACATTTAGTTTCACATGTTACACGAATTTTGACGCCTGCGGTGGTTTCAAGGCATGTTATGAAAACAATAAACCATAATATAAAAAAATGGGAAATACAAGCACATCTTAATGCAGAAGGCGTAAACTAAGTAAGGCTCAATTTAATCTGCCAGTAGAATATTCATTTTATACGTTCATTTATAAAAATGAAGATATGAGTCATGAGACTACTGCTGAGTATGGCACTCACTGAAACTAAACTTGAATGGAAGTATAATCATTTCCCATGCAGGAGTTGAAGAGAGTTTTAATACATTTTGTAATCAATCTAGTTGTTTTGTTTGTTTCATAATTTCAAAATTACCTTGGAATTCTTGAGAAGACAAATCAGCAAATTTATTGACTCCATATATGGTTGAGTTGTGGGGTTTGTTCAAGACCTGAGCATGAGCAAGATTTGCCTGAAAAAAAAAAAGTCGTAAAGTACAATTTATAGAAAATTAACTGTTTTTTAAGAATGTATGCCATTAACAAGTATTTCTTTATTCTTCACCGAGCACCATAACAAAAAATCAAACCACTTCCATGTGTCATGTAGTATAGAGGGCAATGCCAAGCCTTTAATGGATAAGTAACATAAATATTATAATGGTCTTTGAATTTTATACACTTTAAACTATCCCCCCCCCCCCCCCCCCACACACACACTTTTCAAACAAAAACTCCAGATAAATATAGATGGTAAGCTGAATATATCTGAAACAAGGCACTACTATCATTCTAAGCATAAAAAACAAAAACTAGTCTCCGTCTTTGTTTAAATGTGAGGCATCGTAGTGAAATCAGGCCCTTGTCAATATGATTAAATTAAATCAACAATTTTCAGCTCATTTGGCAATTTTTATTGATTATTTTGGGCTAAACACAGACTTTTGTGTACACTTTAAAAACACATTCCTACATGGATTTTACTGAAAAACGTTCAAAGGCACAAAAAAACGTAATTTGTGATTCCAGGGAAACCACAGCTCTGAAAATCACCAAACTTCGGCGCGATTTACTCTTTACTTTTACCTCTGACAGTAGGCAAACCTGGCCTACCTCCTTCAGTCGCAATTCAATTAACTCCATAAGCTCAAAAACCTGACGAGAGCATGATTCCACCGCGTCAAGTCACACACATATCATAATAGGATGAAAACATGGTTATGGGCAGTGGCTGAATTTGCAAACTACTTAAAAAAGGAGGGATATTTTATTTTCGGGCACAAAAAAAGTGAGGACTCATAAGTTCTAATAGTAACAACAGGGTAACTGTTACAATTTGAAATTGATCATAGCCCATAGCCATAGCCTCATCTTTAAAAATGCTCAAAGCTACTACTAACTAACTGTCTGAGGACTTGAAATTGAACAAGATCAACGAATTGGCTAACCGTCCTTAAGGACGGCCAGCCCAGAAGTCAACACGTACTAAAGTACGGTTAAATATCCAGGCTAGCCGTACTTGGGCCCTATTTGACTGAAACCTGTAAGTCGTATCAAAGGTCACTATGGGCGCAAAGACAAGCTTGAATTCTTATTTCTATCTCGACTTGCCCAGGTTTACACAATTACAAACTAGAATTTTATGTTCAAATCAGGGTTTTTTTGCCTTTAGTCAGTCTAGCCATCATTAAGTACAACTAGCCTGCCAGTTAGCTTTAGTAGAAGTTTTACGGCGCTAGCAACTGCATAAGGTCATATGAGCGCCAGAAGATTAGAGGTGTTACAAGTATTACAAGAGAGTAACAAACATAAAAAGGAAGAAGGGGAGATAAGGACGATAGATGTTTGACAGGAAAGAAGGAGCAACCCACACCAGAGCACCCGCCAACCACCCACCTAGCCTGCCAATTTAGCCGTCCTTAAGTGCAACTGGCCTTGCCCTCATTAAGTAAGTTCTAGTTCTAGCCTGCCAGTCTAGCCATCCTTAAAATGACCATTAGTTCATTTGTTTCTTTATCATTTTGAATGAACTTTGACTCTAAAAATAAACTTTCAATATTCTCCTTTTCAACAAAGAAGTGAGAGATATCATAGATGGACATACACTAAGTGTGTCAATTGTCCCTCAATAATGGCCACCCATCAATGAACAGTAATTAAAACACGCCCAGAATTCGAGACAAGTTTAGTGAGAAATTAATCAAATTTATGAAATATGAACCAAACGAGACCAATTTGCTTTTTGACCCTATATATTTGAAATATTGACGTGGAGTTTGTAAAGAAAAATGTTGAGTACACAGGTCTCATTAATAATTATTCAAGTTTAAAGTGCATGTCAATAAGGCACCTTTTGGTTTACGTTTCAAATTTTAAAATACTTTAGGTAACTAAAATTTTATTTACAAATCAGTACTTTTGCTTTATGTCACTCTGAGTCTAGCCGTCTTTAAGTACGACCAGCTTGCCAGTCTAGCCTTTATTAAGTTCCACTAGCCTCTTCCCAAGACAAAATGTGACACAGAATGGTGAAATCAGGCGCTCGTCAAAATAACGAAATTGGAGAAACAGGCATTTTTCCAGAGCTGTTAAAGTACTTTTTAAAAAGTACTTAAGTACAAATTTAAGTACAATCTAAAAAATGTACTTAAGTACAGTAAAAGTACTTTCCTGTAAAATGTACTTGAGTACAAGTACTTTTCAAAAAAGTACTTATGAGTACATTTTGAGTACTTTCTGCTAATATGCTTAAACACTTCAGCGCTTATGCAAAACATCATATAAATAACATATCCAGTATATTTGACAAATTAGGCTATTTATTACTGAAAATGTAAACAGTATACAAAGCATTTGAATATACAATGTACGCGCTGAACGAAGGTGGAAATGGTCCGTGAAATTGAAAAAAAAACCCAAACAGACACAACTAGTGAGTAAATGATATTATGAATAGAACTTGCTTGAGCAGGACAATGTGTCCAAGAAGTCGGAAAGTTCTACAGAAAAAGTATCCAAATTGGAAAATGTAGAGATACAAAGTTGCTCCTTAGAGAAATCATAAAATTGATGAAAATGTGCATTGAATTCTTCATGAACAAATCCTCAAGGAATCAATGTAGCCTTAAGCACAAACCACAAAAAAAGTTTATAAGAAATTAAGGCAGCCTCAAAAATAGTTAGATATACATTGAGAACACAGTTTCAGTTTCAACTGATTTTAGTGGTAAGACAGATTTTGGTCACACTGTGTAGTCCACGGCGCCTGCGGCAAACCAAAATACAATAGTTTCCTAGAGTCTAGTAAGTGTAGTGTAACCAAAGATTCTCTATTACAGTAGTCTCCGCCTAAGATCCCGGTGCTCGGAAGCAAGGAAAATATGGGATCTTAGCCGACAAAGCCAAGGAAAAATCTACAGTGACCCATGAACTGACGTGACCCCTGGGTGGATTTATGACATATTATGGCGAGCAAAGAGTGGTCAACCTTGATGACCAATCACAGTGGCATGAGGCATGCCATAAATTATATACTCATTAGCCTATCATGAGTCTTGAGACCTTTATCTACGTTTATCCAGTTGCCCCTCCCCTTCACCAGTCGCCCCCCCCCCCAACCGCCTTTGTCGTTGCGCACCATTACGTTGCGACCACACCAATTAAAATTCAGGCTGTCTCCCAAATTCGGGAATAGAGAAAAACTGCTTTCAATGGTCGGGGAAGAGTTCACAGTTTGATGTGATCCCGCCTGGAGCGAACTTGTAGCCCCTACCCACCCAGTGAGTGATGTAAGATAAGGTGGTGAGCTCAGATGCGCATTGGTCAGTTCACACCTTGGTTTGATCCCGTCTGGAGCAAACACTGTACCGTTTCATGAAGTTTTACAACACTTGTGATCACATTCACGATAGTGGCTGATCTTTGACGGGACGGGCCGTTCTTTGATCTCAACTTTTAACTCTTGGTTGATCGGCTGTGCTCGCCCGGGTGTTGGTTCCGTAAATTATTATCAGAAATGCCGGCACTTATCCTTTATTAAGCTTCAGAAGGACTCAAAATGTACTTTAAAAATACTCAAAAGTACTTTTATAAAAAGTATCGGAGTACAGTAAAAGTACTGGTTTAAAAAATGTACCGGAGTACAGTAAAAGTACCGAAAATTGTAATGTAAGTACAAGTACAGGAGTACTTGCACTCCATTACAACTAGATCTAGCTCTGCATTTTTCCACCAGTCTTCCAATTTTTATTGATGTTTTTTTACTCAACACCTTAAACGTCCATTTAAAAACACATTTCAGTGTGGATTTTACTGAAAAGCATTGATTGAAGGCACAACAAACATAAATTTTCAGTTTCCAAAGACTCTCAAGCTTTGGAAATCACCAAACTTTGTCAGCCATTTTCGCACTAATTTTACCCCTGAAACCAGGCGACCCTAACCTCCTTCAATCTGAAATATCTTGACTTCTATTCAGGATAGACTTATATTGTTTTCATCAAAAGATAGTCAAATGAACAAGCTATAACTTTACTTAAAGATGATACACCAATAACTCCAGCCCAGATGTCCAAAAATTGACGAGCGCCTGATTCCACGGCGCTGTGATACAAATTGTTTTTGTATTTTCTTTTAACTTCACCCACAAGAGTGTTCAGTTTATGTTTAAGATTGAGGAGTAGCAATTTGAAAAAGAGGGACACAAACAATGGTCTTCCAAACAATAATAATACATTTATTATATTATACTACGATAACGAAGCGACAAACGTGAAAGTGAAAGTGAAAGTAGAGAGACCTGAAAGATGTCGCAACGTCTTTGAAATTCAGTCTCATTTGTTATATATGCCCTCTTCTGTTCCAATGCAAAATCTAGAAATCTCTGAGTCAACGACTTTTCTTTACAATGCATCATCGCATCAGTTTGTGACAGTAGAATAACAACCAAACAGAAAGCAAACATTGTCAGAACACCCCTGCTTTGTGTTGAACAATAGGCAGTTTCCATTTTGGACTACAGAAAAATCACATGATGCAAAATGCAAAATATCAATGATCATTGAAAAGAAAAGGAATAGCAACCAAGAGAAAACAGGTTGTATAGATTCTAGATCTAAGCTTATTTTTCTAAGATTATTGTAGGCTAGTCATGAATTCAAATCAATGATTTTTAAAAATTTCTATTGCTTTGAATGAGAGAGATTTTTTGTCAAGTTTAACCTTTTTTATATTTCTTTGATATGTTTTAGATTGTTTAGATCATTATATGTTTTTAAAAATATATGAGCGCTCTTCTGAGTAAAAGTCAAAATATCTGCAACTGGTGGAGAATGGACAGAAACAGGAAACCTGTGTTGTAGAATACGAAAGCGAAAGTACAAACACAAGTGTGGGTCAGAAACGTGGTTACAATTCCAAACGGGCTGAAGAGACTGAACCGTTGAAATAAGGTGTAGTTATTCTTTATATTTATCTTCCTGAGAAAATGTACACACACTCGTAAAAATTGTTTGTCAGTTTGTGTGTGAGTTATTCCAACGACGCCAACTTTTTTGTTACAGACACAAAAATGTCACCTTCACTGGCTTCACTTCACTTGGTAGTGGTAGTTTAGTTTAGTAGCCTCAGTCAAGTCAAATTAATCGAAGTTCTTCATTAGGTCAATAGGCCTATAGATTTAGATCTAGATTCTACATCAATAGGGAGGACTTCCGTAACGAGCGACCACCTTGATCTATGAGACAGTAGAAGTAGAATAGAGGCAGAGGGCTAAGAGTAAGGGTAGGGTTAGGGTCAGGTGTTTGTTGGGGTGGTCGCTCGTTACGGAAGTCTTTCCCATAAATAATATAGGCTAGCTTTAAATTTACTGTCCACGCCGCCTTTACTTCCCCAACTCGAAGTCAGGTAGGGCTAGATCTAGATCTATCCAATTACTCATACTGCTGGGGCTGGGTGGGCAGGAGGGTGCTTTTTCGGTAGTTCCCACCCCCCTTGTTTGAGCCTGACCTACATCGAGATCTATACGTTTGATGCGCTGTGAGCTAAGATATCAAACCTAGCAACTGCAAAACATCAAATTATGGTAAAATTCAGGGGCCCTGAACCCCCCCGCCCCACCACATTTTTATTAGATCAGGGGGGGCAAGCCCCCCTGAAACCCCCCTACTTTTGAGGCCAAAACCGCTGAATAACAGTTGCGGGGTGGGAACTACCGAAAGCGCCGGCAGGAGGGGGCGAAAAAATCAGTGTCCGAACTGAGGCTTGATCGCGGACTTTCCGTTTGTAATTATTATATAAAGATAAAAATAAGCAACCTCCGAACAACAGTGTCAGAGTTACAGTATTTCGTTTCAAAGACCAGTCACTATAAATCTAGAACTATAGTCCAAATAATTTTTTTTGTCTTTCTTCTTTTGTTGAAAGCACGCAGAGTACCGCATCGCAAAGATACTTGGCGACTTTCTGACACAAGGGGGAAGAATCTCCCCAATCTAAAGAAAATTAGATGACAGATTGGAATGTGTAAAGAGAATATATCATGTAGTTTGATAAAACTGACAGCTGTTTATGAAGGATCTGATACAATTGATTTGTTATGTAACGGTGCTTTCGCGTCCCGCCGCGAAGGTTAATTTTTACTTTGTAGGAGACTCTTTAGTTCACTCTCTTATGTCATTAAAGATTTTCACTGTCACACTTGTGTAGACTTGCTGTAATTAGAAGGTTCTTCCCTGAAAGCCTCATGATTTCTTAAACCTTTCTTGTTTTTGTCCAATCTTCGAGGTTAACCTCTCTTTGTAATTACTGTCCCTACATTCCCAAATACGAGGCACATAAACATTCCATCTGTAATCTTTCTACCTTTGACTTTCTCTCAGGGCTGTGCACACTGCATGTCATTATCATCATGTGCCTGATCTGAAACAGACAGCGGCAATCTTAGTTCACCACTCATTTTTCTGCTCGGATACATGTATTCAACTTGTAATTTTTTCACCGTTGCTCGTTTTTATCACGAACCATATCTACCTGTGTTTTTTGGTGGTTTTTTTGTTACATAGGTGAAGTCCATTTCTTCTTCAAAGTAATCGCCATGTTCGATTTTGAAGGAAGTAACTGGGATGTAGATACAACTGCTGAGAAGCTGAACACATCTCTCTTTGGCTCAGCAAAGGTAAGCTGTGAATGAAGTGGAAGCTGTGGGATGATGATAAACATAGGCAGAAACTTTCTTTTAATTTGTTCAGTAGGGATTTAAACATTTCCTTTGCATGCAATGTATTTACACATCAATGTTCCTGCGAACCACATTCATTAACGCACTTTGGAAATGCACTGCATAAACACTGGCAAAAACCCTGAAAAGTGGCTGGTTGGTGGATGATATTGTGTAGTTTGCTCCTTCTTTCCTATCAAACATCTGCTGTCCTTGCATCTCCACCCTCCTTCTTTTATAAATGTTACTCTGTAGTAACACCTCTCATCTTCGGCACTTATTATATGACCTATTTGTGTTGCAAGTGCTGTAAAACTTTAACAAATAATTTTAATTTTTTAAAAAATAAACTTACTGGTATAGCAACATAGACGATGTGAATAGAGCAGCATTATTATCAATACTGGGCTTGTTTTGATATCCGAGGTCCTCTGTAATTGACTATTTTTACAAGTTTCGATGGTTTGTTACTAATGTTTCTGGTCTGTACACATGATTTTCATTCAGTCAAGATTCTGTTCCTTCAAACTGGATACTCGTAGAAAAATATGCTAATGATCAGATCAGTTGCCATAAATTGTTATTACCCATATGTATATATAATATGTAGTCCTCATTTTATTTGTGATTTACTGAGTATACCACATTTTTGTATTTACAGGAATACCTCGGGTATTTATGAATTGAACACTGGCAATATTTATGTCCGTGAATCTTTATTGTTCTCTCAATTTTGCAGAAGAGGAAATTGCAAAAAGCCAAAGCTCTCTCTCAACAAAATGGCCAGCAAGCAGCATCAGCCGTCATTCCTGACAGTGATGATGAAACATTTACTAAAAAGGGCAAACGAAAACTAAAGGAAAGAAACAGAAAGCTGAAAAAGCCGCAGAAAGAGTTGAATGATGAAGATGGCTCCGGCTCCGTAGACATGGATGAAGTTCTCGAGGCCGGGGATATGGCTCATGGTAAACAGAAAAACAAGAAAGTCCAATCTGAAGTGTCAGGTGTGGTGAAGACTGGTAAAAAGAAAAAAGGGAAAAAAGAAAGTAGTAGTGATCTGAATGCTGGTACTGTTGCGAAGAAAGTCAAAGCAACTACCAATGATCAAGACGGAGTATCAGTCCAGAAGAAGGGAAAGAAAAGAAAATTGACGGACACAGAAAAGATTGAAGAGAAGCAAGTGACGAAGAAACAGAAACAAGCTGAGAAAGTTGATGGAACTGGAGATGGAAGTGTCTCTGCTAACACTGCGGAGAAACCAAAGAGGAAAAGAAATCGGAAGAAGAAGAATAATAGTAAAAAGAATAAGTATCTGCACTTAGCACTGAACAAGAAGGAGAAGTCTGCCGAAAATAGCAGCACACAGGATCACAGCCAGGATGACAGCAAGCCCAGTGTAGAGGCAATAACTTCACCTTCTGATTCCAGTAAAGGGACTGATTTGACTCAAGAAAAGGTCATGATTCCAAAGGAGAAGAAAAAGAAAAACCTGAAGAATAAACCCAATTTGCAAACAGAAAATATCACAGTGAATTCCAAACAGACACCACCAATGAATGAAAAGAAAAAGAAAAACCCTCAGCAAAAACAAAGTTTGCCAAACGTGAATAAACAAAGTTTGCCAAACGTGAATAAATTGCCGAATGAGAATATGCAAAATTTGCCGAAAGAGAAGAAACAAAGTTTGCCAAAAGAGAATGGTAAAGAAAAAGGGCAAACAATGTCAAAGAAGATGAGTAAAAAGCTAAAATCCCAGCCAACTGTGGCGCCTGAAACTCCGCAGAATCAGAATTTGCAGAAAGACACTGAGAAAGATTTAAGTCCTCAGAAGAGTAAAGCTCCTGACAAAAGAGTCAAGTATAAAACCAATATTCTTACGAAAATGCTGAATGACTCTTCAATTTTCAGTAGTCCCTCAGCAGAACTGACTCCATCTCCGAAAAGGAAAGACCTTTCTGAATTTGCAGAAGACGAAGATATTTCTACAGCATCACAATTGGGAAAGAAGAAGAAAAGGAAAAATGGGTCCTCTATGATTGAAACAGTTCCTAGAAATTTAGAGAATGAAAGTGAGTCTAAGTCTTTGTCTAAGACTCCTGTGTTGCCCAACGCCTCCATCTGGGGCAAAGCTGCAGCTCTGACCCAGCAAGCCAGAGACACGTTAGACTCGGCTCGATTCCGCTACATCAACGAGCAGCTGTACTCGTGTAAAGGCGTGGAGGCTCTGCAGATGTTCAGGTCGGACAGAGACGCCTTCAACGTGTACCACGGCGGCTACAGGAATCAGGTGTCCAAGTGGGAGGTCAACCCTCTGACTGTCATCATTAAGCAGCTCAACAACAAGTGAGTACATCCTATATATAAATAATGGAGTTTTTCTGTCATTTTGGATGTGACTCTCTGTGAACATAATGCACATTGAGCATATGTTTGAATACAGAAATTCACATCATATGCTTTTTATTATTATTTTAATTTTTTATTATTATGTTTTTTAAATTTTTGTTATTGTTACTTTTTTATTATTATTATTATTAAATGATATTCTGATAATTTACACTAATAACTTAAGCCTTTCCTCCTCTAACTAGACGTATATACTCGCTTGTGTTCTCCTGGACTGGTGTTTTTTCAACTACTTTACCGTGGATATTTTTGAAGATGTATTTGCAATGTGTGCAGTTTTTTAAATTCTTAATAAGGGTAGATGTATGGCTTTGTTTGAATCTCTTAAATGAAGCTTTTGTCTTGTCTGTACAAATGGAAATGCTCCAGCACTGAAAGTGAAAGGGTAAAAAGAACAGCTATGTTTTTACATATTGAAGTTGAACTTCTCAAGTAGTATAATATTTATATATGTATATGAATTGTATTTTATAGAAACATTATCAATACAATGTTTTGTTTTGATATGCATTCTAAACAGAAATGCATTTGTTTTTGCATTCCGTGGTTCATTTGTTCCATTTTACTTGACTGTTGCAGACTATCAGCATGTATATTTTCCATGTTTACAATCAATGTTCATTTTCAGATATGTTCAGATATAATATATCTTCAAAAATATTATCATTCAGGTCAGATGCACTAGTAGTAGCAGATTTTGGCTGTGGAGAAGCAAAGCTGGCCGAAAGTGTTCCCCAGAAGGTGCACTCGTTTGACCTTGTGGCTTTGAACAAGAGGGTCACAGCCTGTGACATGTCCCATGTAAGTGAAGAAACTGTTTGCTGTTTGTGCGGGTGAAATTTTACTAATTTGTGACAATCCATTTTATATCAATCTGACCATCAACAGCCATGGTTGCCCCCTGCGTTTGTTAAAAAAAGCAGATTTCCATTTCTGAAATTGAAATGAATTTGAATCTGACAAAGTTCATGTCGTAAACATTTCAAGAATACAGTCGGGTACAGATAACTCAAATACATAAGGGATGGACAAATGTGTCGACATATGTGAACCGATAATAATGAAAAATCAAAGAGATATCAGTTGGGAAATGGCAAATTGTACGAGCAATCTATGCTTTGGAGTTGTCTGTGTTCTTGTTGTCTGTGCCTGACTGATATATTTGTATTTAGTTTATGTCTGGAAAATATTGGTTCAAATTTATGGAAAGCCGTACAGTTTGCGTAGAGGCATACCTCAGCA